TTGGAGGCAGGCTATCATGGGCAGTAATTTAGACTGTAATCTTGAGGGCCCAACACCTCCTAAGTAGGATAGGTAAGAGGATTATACACCTAGACCCATCATAGTGAAATTGCAGAATGCCAGGGACACAGATCTCAGAAGCAGTGAGAGAGGAAGGGCAGAGAACCGTCAAAGGAACAAGAGTGAGACTGGCAAGTGCCTTCTCATGAATGGCCGTGGAAGCTCTTAGAGGAGAATGATGGTCAACCTTGAATGTTATACCCAGCAAAAATATCTTTTACGAAGAGGGTTAAAAAAACACATTTAGCAAATGATAACTAACAAAAGAGAATTTCCCCCAGCAGACTGTCACCTCAATTTTGAAGAACAGACCTCAGACAACACAAAAGTGATCTCAGAAGGTGTCTGAAATGGATATGCAGTGAAGGGTGCAAAGAAAGGAACTGGGACTGACGTGGATTGGTACAAGCAGTCACTGGACGCCTCTCACCTGCGGAGAAGCAGGGACAGAAGGTGCCTGTGAGTGGACCTAAAGAGGTCTAACTTCTTCGTGTTCTTTGAGAAGAGGATGGAGATGTTTGTCGACTTTAGACCATGGTGGGTTTGCATGACGCTGCGATTGCACCAAAAGGACAGAAAGAGAACCACACTTGAACAGTGGCAGGGAGAGTGGTTAGAGACACCACGCGATTGGTCCAGAAGGAAGCAGGAGAGGACAGAGAAGGAAACGTAAGGCCGGCGAGACGAACGGCACGGGGGAAGGCAGCAGATAGAATCGCCAGTATGTCATTTAATTCAGTACATGGAAATGGACCGAGCATGCTCGTTAAAAGACACGTCAGAGGGCTGAAAACGACCCGTCCGGCCAGCATGTGCGCGTGAACGTGTACAGAATGGAACTTGGGAATATTCCAGCCTGGGGGGCGGAGCTGGATGCTGAGAAGCCTTGCATCAGTTCACGTCGTGTTTTGCTGTCAAACTCAGCAAGCTGGCCTTGGATTGTGGAGTTGGACCCTGTGGCCGCCTGCTGCATGCAGCAGCAAGTGTGTTTCTGACAGGCCTGTCCCTGAGTGAAATAGGCAAGTGACAGAATTATCCATGCCATGTGGCTTGGTTTAGAGTTCAAAGACATGCAAATGTAAACACTATATCGCTCATATTTTCATAAAAAATATAATTTGAAAAAAATATTTTACACGCCTGTAATCCTAGCACTCTGGGAGGCCGAGGCGGGCGGATGGCTCGAGGTCAGGAGTTCGAAACCAGCCTGAGCAAGAGCGAGACCCCGTCTCTACTATAAATAGAAAGAAATTAATTGGCCAACTAATATATATATATAAAAATTAGCCGGGCATGGTGGCACATGCCTGTAGTCCCAGCTACTCGGGAGGCTGAGGCAGAAGGATTGCTTGAGCCCAGGAGTTTGAGGTTGCTGTGAGCTAGGCTGACGCCACGGCACTCACTATAGCCTGGGCAACAAAGCGAGACTCTGTCTCAAAAAAAAAAAAAATATTTTAAAATTTTTCTTGGAAAAGGAGCTATGCAACACTTTTTGAAAAGCTCTGCTCTAGGCTCTGGCAATTAAAATTGTGTGGTGTTGAGACAGAAGGTAGCAAACACATCCATGATGTGTTTTGAAGACAAATAGTCCAGAAACCGACCCATACACAAATCTTGGGGTTTAGTCTATGCTGAGCATGGCATTTCAAAGCAGTGGGGGACGGACCTGTCAATAATGGTGTTGGGGTGACGGCTGTCCATTCACAAGGTGTAGAGTGCGGCCCGCATCTCACAAACGCACAAGGTCTCACGCAGTAAGTGTTAAACCCAAACCCCGTAAGCACTGGGAGAATGTATAACAGCAACATTTAGAATCTGGGAGTGAGAAACACCTTTCTTTTTATGCCAAACACAAAACCCTTGAAGGACAAGCCTGACAAATCTGACGGCAGCATTTTTATAAGTTTGGTGCAAAGACACAAAAATGTTAAGCAACAGTCTAGAAGAAAAACACTTGTAATATTTGTAACATTCAAATATTTAGCAGCCACAATCTAGGAAGAGATGCTTAAAAGCAAAGAGAAAATTTTTGCTGGGTATAACATTCAAGGAAAAGCAAAGAGAAAACTATTTTGGAAACTCAATAGAAAAGGGGATGAAGTGTATGGACTTGCAGGTCCTAAAGAAAAGACACTGAATGAATGAATGGTAAAGGTGAAAAAGTTGGCAAAAACGACACGGATAGATCTGCGTGGAGCTGGGAAGGATGGAAGGGAAGGGCTAAGTCTGTTTTATTGGTTTTTCAGAGAACTCGTTTGTGATCATTATTCAGTTTTGTTTTTCCATTTTGATTCATTCATTAATCTTTCCTAATTCTATCTTTAAGCTTTCAGTGAATTTGCTTTATTCTTTTTCTGGCTTCTGCAGTGATTTGCCTGGTCATTGGTTTGGGCTTTGCTGCAGGGACGTGCTTGAAGCTGTAGACTGGCTGCAGCTGGGGCTCGGGACCTCACGGCCGCCCGTTTCTAAATAAACTGCCATTTCAGTCTTGATTTTCCTTCTCACTCCTTCTGGACTTAATCAGAAGGGTGCTGTGGAACGTCGTGTCAGTAGGCGTGTTTGTTGTCCGTTTGTTATTAATTTTTACTGGCATGGCTTCGCAGTCGCAGAACCACGTGTCCGGGCACCGGCTGTGTGTCGGGGACGTGTTTTGTTTGTGGCCCAACGCGTGGCCCGTTTGTGTGCACGGTCCACCGTTGGGTGAGAGCGTGGGCTGTCCGTGGGTCCGGGCTGTGTGCCAGCTCTCCTGTGTCTGTTAGGGCCCTCTCATTAATCACTCGAATCTCTGTTTCTTGAGTTCTGTGTGGCTCTTACTAACACGTGTGTGCACGTGTCGGACAGTAGCTTCCCCGGAGCCCCCCTCGCCCGGCTCCCGTGGCTGCGCCCGCCGCCGTTTAGCCAAAAGAGACGTTGCGCTCATGCCGTCCCCTTGAATTCTCAGGTTCACACGTGTCCCGCGCCACAGACACCGCAGGCTTGGCGCTCTCACCTCCACCACACGCTTCCCTTCCCGGTGCCCACGCAGAGCGCTGCCGCCTTTTCATCAACTCCACTCCCAGCACTGGCCTTGTCGTGACGGTGTCCCACACAGAGACGTGGAGCACGCTGTCACCACGTGTCCTTGCTTGTGCGGCTTTTTGTGTTCCCTGGATGTCATCATTGTCTCCCTTTGCCGCCTCATTTTCTCTCTTTTCTTTTTTGAGAAAGGGTCTTGCTGTGCTGCCCAGGCTGGGGAGCAGTGGTGTGATCACAGCTCACTGCAGCCTCCAACTCTTGGGCTCAAGCGATCCTCTTGCCTCAGCCTCCCAAGTAGCTGGGACTATGGGCACGTGCCACCACCACGCCTGGCTGATTTTTGTATTTCCTGTGGAGACAGGGTCTTGCTATGTTGCCCACGCTGGTCTTGAACTCCTGACCTCAAGTGGTCGCCCGCCTTGGCCTCCCAAAGTGCTGGGATAACAGGCGTGAGCCACGGCACCCGGCCCTCCTTTCCGTTTTCTGTGATTATCACTTCTTTCCCAAACTTTCCAATAAATCTGTGACACTCCTCTCACAGGCCTAAACAGTCCGGTCACCTAGGAGCTCTGCCTGTCCCGTGGTAGTGGCCCCCCCGGAGCCTGGAGCCCCCTGCTGCTCACCGGGCCACCGAGAGGCCCACCCTGCCTGGCCTCCTGTCGACCCTCTGCATGCAGGATCCCGTTTCCTGGGCCCTGGTGGTTCTGTTTCTCGGTTTACTGCCCTGTTTTGGCGGGATTCATCCAGCAGCTTCCTCTGAAAGGGTTCACAGGAAGTTAAAATCTTCAGGATTTTTCAAGACTCTGAAGGTGTGACAATGCCTTTATTCTGCCTCTGCACTTGAGTGATACTTTGGTTAGGTGCTTTCGGTTCTATTGGGTCTGTACCCAGAAGTGGGATTGCGGGATCGCACGATAATTCCATTCGTAGTTGTTTTGGGAAGGGGACTGAACTTTGAGTTTCTATCAGTCCCCTATTTTTAGCATGATAGCCCCTTGCCGCTGGGGTGGCAGGTAGCAGTACCCAGGGCTTCTGGCCTAGCAGAGTCTGGAGGGATGTTCACAGACAGCCCATCTGAGAAGTTCCACCTGGGGCAGGTCATCCTGGCTCCACCTGGTCTGGGCATTCCTGGGCCCCTTCCTCCCATTCACCTGTACCCAGCTAGTGGCCCTCCTGCACTGGAGCCTGGCCTTTTATCCTAACGGATTAAAGAGCATTATTTTTTCCCTAAACCTGTTTAGGATCATTTTTTTTTTTTTTTGAAACAGAGTCTCACTTTGTTGCCCAGGCTAGAGTGAGTGCCGTGGCGTCAGCCTAGCTCACAGCAACCTCAAACTCCTGGGCTCAAGCGATCCTGCTGCCTCAGCCTCCCGAGTAGCTGGGACTACAGGCATGCACCACCATGCCCAGCTAATTTTTTTGTATATATATTAGTTGGCCAATTAATTTCTTTCTCTTTATAGTAGAGACGGGGTCTCGCCCTTGCTCAGGTTGGTTTTGAACTCCTGAACTCAAACGATCCACCCGCCTCGGCCTCCCAGAGAGCTAGGATTACAGGCGTGAGCCACCGCGCCCGGCCTAGGATCATTTTAGAGGGGGCTTGGGGAGGAGGGAGGTGCAGATCTGGCCCCTGAGTCCCGCCTTTCAGCGTCCCGTCTGTCCCCTCCCCCAGCGCGCCCCACGCCAGGGCGCCCGCTGTAAGGTCTGCGCGGGCACGTGCGGACGGGCGCGGTCCAGGTGCAGAGCCACTGCGCAAAGGTGCAGAGGCCACAAGGGCAGCGACCCCGCTGGGAGCTTGCGGAGGGGGCCAGGGAGGCGGCGCCCCACGCCTGCCAGCCGAGCGCAGAGGGGCGGCGGATGCTGGGAGGCGGCGCGCAGGGCGAAGGCCCGGTGGCCGCGCGCGACCCGCCGCCCTGTCCCCGCAGGTGTGCGAGCTGCCGGAGTGCGGGCGCCCCGGCCGCCACTGGAGCGTCAGCATCGACGAGCGCCGGCAGCTGGCCATGCTGGGCGACCGGGAGAGGCCGGGCTCCAGGTCCTCCTCCCCAAGCTAGGTGAGCGCGGCGCGGGCGCAGGGCCTCTTCAGCCCCTGGGACCGTCCCCCCCCTCCCTCTGCCTGGGGCTCCCTGACCCTGCGGTCGTCTGCAGGACATCATGCAGATGGTGGCCCAGCTGGTGTCTGAGGACGTGGACAAGGACGTGCTCTTCTCCCAGCCGCCGAACTCCCCCGAGTCCGTCAGAGCCTTCCGAGCCTTCCAGACCCGTAGCGCAGGTTTCTGGCACAAGGCGACTTCGAGGTTGCCTCCCTCCTAAGAACCGGCTCAACCCAGTGACTGTCCTCCAGCGCCTTTCCTTGGGGGTCCGCCGGAGGGATGGGGGTGCACGGCCTCTGCGTGCCCTGCCAGGGGTTCATGGCCCACCCACCAGTGAGAAAACAGGCCCAGGACCCCTCTCAGGCCAGCTGCCCCCTTCTGAGGCCTTGCAGGCCTGACCAGGGGGCGTAGGGGCTGCCCCGCCCCAGGCTGGCCTGAGGAGGAGGCTGGTGGGGCCTGGCGGGCCTGCCCTCTGGGCTGCAGCCGCCGGGGCCTGACTGGGTGCACTGGTGTCCAAGCAGGGGCTGGCTCAGGACTTGGCTGAGGATGGGGCACCTGCCTGCTAGAGGCCAAGCTGTGGGCTGAGGCCAGAGGTCCCCAGGGCATCTGGTGTTTCCATGTCTTGGGCACTGAGGGGTCCCACTGGGTCCTGCCTCTGAGGCCCTGATGGGCATGTGTGAGCCAGTGGGGTGCAGCGGTGGGGGTGGCTGGAGTGAGGGGTCCAGAGAGGTGCCAGGCACAGAGGGAGGCACTCTGGAGACTCGGTGGTGATGGGGCGCAGGTGGCAGTGGGCAGAGGGCCTGGGGCAGCGGTGGGGAGCTGGCCGGGGCAGCGGCCCCCAGGCCCCAGACCTCCGTGGTGACTGCGTTTGTCTCAAGCCTGCAGGACGGTTCTGAGCCGGGGGCGACCAGGCAGGGCTGCGTTCTGGGCAGGCCAAGTTGGAGGGGGCTGGGAGGGGGGAGGGTGGGGCCAGGCAGGACTGCGGTGGGGTGAGAGTGGGCGAGGTGCCTGGACTCGGCAGCTGTTAGGTCCTGACTGGGCTTCTGTGGAGGTGGCACGATGGAGCGATCTCCCCAAGCCCTGGGTGGGCGCAGGAACCAGGCCCCACGGCCACGTGGACTCCACACGGCCAGCACGCTGGCAGCATGGCTCCCTCCCAGACCTTGCGGCTGGCGCAGACCTGACCCCCAGACCCGACCACGCTGCCGGCCACCTGCTGCCCCTGCACACGTGGCTCCGCTGCTCCTGCCTCCCTCCCCCTCCTTTCTGTAAGACTCAGTGGAGTCCCCTCCTCCAGGAAGCCTTCAAGATCACGCAGCTAGGTGCCCCTGCCCCGATCCTCTCTGGAGTCCCCTGGACTTAGTCTTGTCCACCCCAGGGACCCTCTGCACCTCTCAGGATTCAGAGGGTGGTGGAGGGCAGCCCTGGGGGCCCTCAGGACCCTGCCCTCCTCCTCAGAGGCCGCTGGGGATCAGGTGGGGGGTGGGGTGCCCTGGGCCTGGCTCCATGCTGGCAGGAAGCTGCAGGTGAGTCTTCCCTCCCCCAGGCGCTCCCAGTGCAGGGAGGGGGCTGAAGTGTGAACAGCTGCCAGGGGTGTCCAGAGCTCTGCAGCTCTCAGCTGCTGCCCGACTTCAAAGCTGCAGTCCCCAGCCCCAGTCCACTTGCTGGTTGGGAACAACACCCGCAGCACCACCTGAGCCCCCCCTGCCCTGGAGAAACTGTCTCCCCAGAACTTAGGCTCAGGAACGGCCTCGCAGCAGACAGCAGGAGGCAGAGGTAAGAGTGGGGGTCTCTCCGGGCGGCTGCGCAGCTGTGCTCCTTCTGGAGGCTCCAGGGCAGAACCCCTCTTCCCAGCGGCCAGCAGCCGTCCTCCAGTTTTGCCTGCGCGTGGCCGGCACCCATCGGGCTCTGCCTCTGAACCCCCGCCTCCTCCTCTGCCTCCCTCTTCCACGGTTAAGGACCCCTGTGATTACACTGGGCCCACCCAGGTAATGCAGGACACTCTCCCTGTTTTAAGGTCAATGGGTCTGCTGCTTTACCTACCTGCCACCACGTAACCTAGCCTGTGCACGGGTTTGGGGGGTTCAGATGAGGCCATCCCTGGGGAGAGAGCATCCTGCCTTCCCCTGGGCACTGCTGTCACCTGGTCGGTAGAGGCTGGGGTGCTGCACGAGACCCACAGTGCGCAGGGCAGCACCCCCAACCTGGAAGGACCCGGCCCTGATGTCAGCGGGGCCCCAGCTGCAAAACCCCCAAGGGGGGGGTCTGCACAGCGGGCAGGTGGGCTTGTCCTGGGATACCCAGAAAGGATAGGGGGTCGCAGAGGCACGTGAAGTCGAGGAGAGGCTGGGGAAGCAGGCTTGGGTGTCGGCTGGGAGCAGCGGGGGGACCCATCCAGAGCCCCACAGCCCCAGTGGGGCAGGACGCAACCCGGCCTCCACTGCCAGGGGACACTGCAGCACGGCCACCCCACACCTGAACCCCGCCTTCACCCTGCCTCCCCCACGGGTGAGCCCCTCCCCAGGCCTCGGGGGTGTCCTGCGAGGGGGAGTGGCTCAAGTGCTCCTATGGACAGGGGCGGTGGGGCGAGAGGGGACAGCCCCCAGCTGGTGACCCTGGCCAGCTCCGACACCTCAAGCAGGAAGGGGCCAGGGGCTCAGAGACCTTGGCGGGGGCAGCTCGGCCACGGAGGACTGGCCGGGCGCCTGGGAGACGGAGTGTGTGACCTTCCCGAGTGCCACCGACAGTGCCCAGCACGGCCCCCGTTTAAAAAAAATGACTTCACTGGCTTTGCAGAAATACTTGCAATACAACAAAGGTTGCAGTTTTTAAAGACTCGCCCACAATCCGATCACTGAACTAACAGCTGCTAACATTCGGTGTAAGTTATTCCAGATATTTCCAAATGGGTATGCAGAGACGAAAGGACATATGGAAACATAGAAATAAGTGTGGAGCTACTCCTTATACATTTTAAAACATTTGAGAAAAAAAATTATTGCTGAAATCAGATGAGTGCTGCTTCACCCCAAATTTAAGGTTGTCCTACGACTATTTTTAGAGATCACAAAAACGTAAGAGAGGGCTTCAGCTGTTCTCAGCAGCCTGCTTCAGCGTGGACAGCGGTGACTGACTCTGGCTCCGAAGGGGGAGCACCTGCCCGGACGCCCGCAGTCCCCACGGGAAGATCGACGGGGCCACCTTCCGCCCCCCGACCTGCGCACTCCCCGTGGGCCCCGTGCCGTGCGGCGAGCTCGCTGCCAGGACTTGGACCAAAGTCTTCGTTTTGATTTACATCTTTTTCGGCTGGACTTACGGTCAGTTTTAAAAATTTTTGTAAATTTTATTTCTTGGGTTCTTGTATATTTAAAAGTGTTTTCCTGAGGCTGCTCCAGGTGCGTGGGAACCTGCTGGGGAAGGACTCTCACGGTTGTGCTTTCTTTCCCTAAGGACCCTGCCTTCAAGCCCGGAAGGTTGCTGGAGAAACCAGAGGCCAGGCGGATCTTCTTGTCCTGCTATGCGATACGCTCTTTCTGAGAAATGGCTACGTTAGTCCTTGAGGTTTACCATGTTTCCCCGAAAATAAGACTTAACCATAAAACAAGCCCTCTCGGGATTTCTGAGCATTTGCGCAATAGAAGCCCTACCCTGAAAATAAGCCCTAGTGAGGGGCGTGGCTGTGCCGCGCATCTGCACAACCCATGCATGTCGTCGAGGAGCAGGAAAGATGACGAGCAGCCCTTCCCGTCTGCCCCATCATGACAGCTACTGTCCCAGAGGTGACCGGAAAGGTGCGGGCAGCCCCACCCACAAGGTCGGCTCCCCTTGTCGGGTCCCGGCCATCCTGTTCGTGCTGCAAGCTGAGGCTTTGAGGGAAAAATAACACATCCTCTGAAAATAAGCCCTAGGGTGTCTTCTTGAGGAAAAATAAATATAAGACCCTGTCTTATTTTCGGGGGAACACGGTAGTAACAGGCAACGTGGATCTCTCTAAATCCTGCTGTGTGGGCTTCTCGGGGACGGGGTGTGGCCCTGTAACAGGCATGCTCTGCTGTGGTTCCAGGGGAGCTTTCTTGCAGCAGATCTTCGCATACTTTCCTGACCGTCTGCTTCCAGCACCCATCCTGAGGCTGGGCTTCTGGCCGCCCACCCCTGCCGGCTCTCACCCTCGCGGCAGCCTCAGGGGTCCTTCTGACAAAGGTCAGCTCAGGCCACTCAGAGCCCTCCAGCGGCAAAGCCAAAGTCCCCACGGGCCCCACACCGGCCTACGTGGCTCCTGGCCTCTTACCCCGCCTCCTGCAACCCTCTCTGACCCCCTGAATGGGCCCCTCACTGTTACCACCCCCCGTCTCCTTAGGCTCGTTATTTTGTCCACAGAGAACTTTTATTTTGAGATAGAGTCTCCCTCTGTTGCCCAGGAAAGAGCGCAGTGGCATCATTATAGCTCACTGCTACCTTAAACTCCCAGGCTCAAGCGATCCTTCCGCCTCAGCCTCCCAAGTAGCTGGGACTGCAGGCATGCACCAGGACGCCTGGCCAATTTTGTCTGCAAAGCACTTAACAACTCATGACTTTATATATTATTCATGTATTCTCTCTCCCTTCCCTGCTAGATTGTAAACTATCTGAGGGCAGACTTTGTCTCCTTACTAAAATGGTGTGTGGCTTGAAGTGGATATTTAGCAAATAATAGTTGTATGAATAGATTATTGCTTTAATCCCTTTGTCTTGCCCTGAAATTATCTCAAGCCTTTCCTCTCTTAGTAATTTGATATCCTGCCCCTTGCTGTTTCTGACTTATTCCGGAGAAGGTGTGATTTTGATCCTTCGTGTGTTTGCTTGGCTCTGGAATCTTCCCCTCATTCTGCCATTTTATCATCTAGCATGTTCCTAGAACTTAACGCACTCCTGTGGAGTTGTCTTCTGCTTCTTCCGTTGTGTTTTCTTCTATTCTGGGTTCTTCAGCGGCCCACACGCCCTCCCTGACCCCAGTTTTTATGTTGTCGGGTGTGGTCAGCACGCGACTTCTCCACAAGTCACTCCTGTTCTGATGTGAGCAGCTCTGTTTACTCTGGATGGATGGATGCTTCTCAATTCTTCTCTGTGACTTACTCACTCTGTGTTGTGAGGGCCATGTCCCTACTCTTGTGAGGACTAGCTAGGCGTCGGATCACCTCCCTGGGACACTGGACTCCGTGCCTGCTTCCCGAAGGTCAGCCCTGCCCGCCTACGCTCCAGTGCTCCTCTCCCACTCCCCAGGGACGAGTCCTTCAGTCGGCTTCCCTCCAGGCTGGGGGCTGGGGAGAATTCTCGTGTTGCCATGACGTCTCGTGATGTGGGCATGAGGCCTGACTTGTTTCAGGGATGGAGGCAGAAGCAGACATTAACAGGTGTGTGAAGTTTCTATGTTCTCGCCATACTCACAGCTGCCTGGGCATCTTTCGGCATTTCTAACTTTTTGGTGAGTTTGTTAGGTGCTAGCAGAAGATCTCATGCTATAGCTCCATTCAGGAAGAGGAGACAGATGTAGGCCACAGGTTAAGGACTGGACCGGTGAGAGGGAGAGAGGCCCTTCTTGAAGAAACTCTGCCTGTACGCCATCAGCCCCTCCTGGATGTGAGCTGCCCTCTCTCCTCTTCCCCTGCAATCTCAAGCAAACATGACCCGTTCCTTGCACCCTCTGCCCCCAGTCCCCTGCTCACCAGGAGGGAGTATGATTTTGGTGTGGTCTGCAGCACAGGAGGCTGTGGCCGCAGCCCTCCTGGGTCCCTGCCGAGCTTCCATCTGGCAGCCCGCTGGTCTCCTGCCCACCTCGCTGGAGTCTGGTGTGGAGCATGGTGGGGTGGTTCCCGGTGCTCCACCCCGCCTGCCCACACCCTGCCCGGCAGCGCCAGGGCTCCCTCCTGAGCTCCCCAGGACATCCCTCTAACTGGACACCAGCATCCTCAGCCACAGACTGTCGCCCAGGTGCTGCACAGACCAGCAACCTGGAGCCCCCCAGGACACCTCCTCTTCCTCACCTCCCCAACACTGAGAGCAAACCTGCCTCCCAACTGCAGCTGGGACCATCCCTTTCTATCTGGGACGCCACATCCCCTCCTCTTCCTGACGGGGTATCTGGGCTGCTGGACTCTCCAGTCTCCTTAGACCTTAATAAGCACAAAACACACCCAGACTTACGTGTGGCAGGTGCCTCAGTGCAGACGGGACACAGCCCTCCCAGCGCTCCACCTGCCAGGTCTGGGCTGGGGCCAGCAGGCCTAATGCGCTCCAGCCTCAGGGGCACCTGGGAGGGTGGCCCTCTCACCAGGTCACAGTTCCGGGAGGCCACCACAGCCAGGGGTGAGCATGGGGGCAGGGACGCTGACGACCTCATGCCGGGTGGCAAAGGCTGGGCCTGGAAGGGAGGTGTGGGTGGGCCTCTAGGCCAGGGGCCCCCACAGGCTGAGCACCCAGGGAAGCCCCTTGGAGAGCGAGGGGAGGGTCCTCTAAGGGGCGCAGGGAGGGCTCACAAGGGAGGGGCCCTTGTGGAGGAGTCCCCACCCCGGGGTGCTGGGGAGGGTTGGGAGGGCTCTGGCAGTGCCCACGAGTGAAGGGGTTTGGGTGTAGGGGGACCACCTGTGGTGTTGAGAGGACCCCAGGGGTGTGGCAGGGCCTGTAGGGAAAGGGGCGCGGGAGGCCCCGTGGAGGGTGACGAGAGGCCTAGGACGTGGGGAGCCCCATGGAGAGTGACGGAAGACCCTGTGGAGGGTGACGGAAGACCCCGGGGAACAGGGAGCCCTGTGGAGGGTGACGGAAGACCCCGGGGGACACGGGGAGCCCCGTGGAGGGTGACGGAAGACCCCGGGGCGAGGGGAGCCCCGTGGAGGTGACTCGAGGCCCGGGGCGTGGGGAGCCCCGGGGAGGTGACTCGAGGCCCGGGGCGTGGGGAGCCCCGTGGAGGTGACGCGAGGCCCGGGCGCGGGGAGCCCCGTGGAGGGTGACGGAAGACCCCGGGGCGCGGGGAGCCCCGTGGGGGTGACGCGAGGCCCGGGCGCGGAGAGCCCCGTGGAGGTGACGCGGGGCCCGGGCGCGGGGAGCCCCGTGGAGGGTGACGGAAGACCCCGGGGCGCGGGGAGCCCCGTGGAGGGCGACGGGAGCCCCGTGGAGGGTGACGGAAGACCCCGGGGCGCGGGCAGCCCCGTGGGGGTGACGCGAGGCCCGGGCGCGGGGAGCCCCGTGGAGGGTGACGGAAGACCCCGGGGCGCGGGGAGCCCAGTGGAGGTGACGCGAGGCCCGGGCGCGGGGAGCCCCGTGGAGGGTGACGGAAGACCCCGGGGAACAGGGAGCCCCGTGGAGGGTGACGGAAGACCCCGGGGCGCGGGGAGCCCCGTGGAGGTGACGCGGGGCCCGGGCGCGGGGAGCCCCGTGGAGGTGACGCGAGGCCCGGGGCGTGGGGAGCCCCGTGGAGGTGACGCGAGGCCCGGGGCGTGGGGAGCCCCGTGGAGGTGACGCGGGGCCCGGGCGCGGGGAGCCCCGTGGAGGTGACG